TAATATATTTTGCTTTGGCTTTATTGATACAATATCAGAAAGCACTCTGTTTTGCGGATATAATCGTGTGGGCTAAAGAAAAGATTATATCTTCGTTTTTTTCCGGCTTTTTTACCAGTTTTTTAATTAACATTTAATTTTTTTTTTTTTTTTTTAAAAAATAAAATCTAATTTTTTTTTTTACTTATTATTTCCCACCCCTCTTTTTTTTAATATGTCTATAATTTTTCTTTGTTTTATTCTTCATTTTGTACTTATATATATATACATATATACCCCAGCTATTCATCACCGAAACATATACAATTGGTGACCTGCGAACGAATACATATATTTCTGTTTCTGCAAACTGCATTTGAGAAAATTCTACTAGTTAATGGATCACGGAGAAATGCTGGCACGTTTCAAGTTTTAAAATTTTTGGCAAGCCGTGAGTACAATTTGCTTCTATTGTTGGACTTATACATTTCGGATAAATGCAAAAAATGCCCGAATCTACGGAAACTGCTCATCAACAAATTGCTCGTGTCATTGCAAAGCAGCCACCTTTTTGGAGAGCTAATCCAGAATTTTGGTTCAGACAAATTGAAAGTCAGTTCACTCTTGCTGGAGTAACTACAGAGTCAACGAAATTTCACCACGTAGTTTCTGCTCTTCAACCAGAGGAACTAGGGATTATCAGCGATATTGTTATCAGTCCACCTGTGGATGAGCCTTTCACCGCACTTAAAAAAAGATTGTGGGCTCAATATGCTGAATCTGAAGCTCAACGTTAAGGGATTTCGAGGATGCAACTTGGCAACCGCCGTCCTTCAAGACTGCTTCTGGAAAGGCGGAATAAAGCTGGCGCGAGAATTATCGATGAGCTTCTTAAATCTTTATTTTTGCAGAGGTTGCCTACTAATGTTCAACAGATTTTGGCGATTTCCAACGATAACCTGGACAAGCTGGCGGAGATGGCGGATAGTATTATGGCTATGACAACTAACGCGAACTCAGTCAGCGTGGTTGCTGGTTCGACGGAACAGACGGATTTACGGTCTTTATTGACAGCGATCACAGCTCGTCTCTCACGGTTGGAAGCCCGTACAAGTGACCAGTCAAGAAGTACTAGTCAGAAACGCTCTACTAGCCGAAGCCGACAGTCTGCAAATTCACAGTATTGCTGGTACATAAAATATTCAAACAACGAGCGACAAAATGCCGACCTCCATGTTCGTTCCAACCGAAAACTGCTGAGAACTGCTTTGCACTTTATATGCTTCGAACTAAAGTAAGTTGTTATTTGAATAAAAAATAAATTAAAGAATATAATTGTATAACTTTCTCGTCAGTCAATGTCATCCAAATCTAACTCATTGTCTTAACATTTATGCTAATGTCATTGTCTTAAAATTAAAAACTATTATTTTCAAAATTTCTTCTCTCATACGCACTATCAACTGATTTTAGAGAATGAAGAATAAAGCAAAGTTATTTTTGAAATTATTATTTACAGCGAGATATGATAAATAAGTTTTCATCACATCACAATCATCATAGCAAAAAACAGAACAAACAAATTTTGTTTTTAATTATAAAGTATACAAATACCATATGTAAAAATCATCTACTTTATTCCTTAAGATCATTCAATTTAAATTTTTCATTTAAAAAACTAGGATTTGCTTATGAAAAACTATGATTTAGTAACTAAAATTAAATTCTTCTTATTCTAACTTGTATCGATTGTTTTTTTTTCATTATTATATTATTAGAACGAACAGGTATTCTGAAAAAAATGATTCACGTCAAAGGAAATTTTTTATGCATATCTCTTTTTGACTTTTCATAAAAATGCGAACAAGTTAAATCAAATTTTTCATGTTTAAAAATTATAAATGCTACCTGTAAAAATCTGCTAATTTAATTCACAGTTTCATCCCGAGAAAAATGCAATGTTTTTTTTCTTAGTTTTTTCTGTCGCACATTATTCATATTGTTTAAAAAAAATAAAGTTGACTTTGAATGCAAAGTTTTTTAACGTAAGTGGTGGCATTAGGAAAGTGTAAGAAAATAATTCTGAATTTGTAGTAATAATTAAAAATGGTATCGACATTGAAAAGTTTCAACATTTGCAAAGATTGCAGTTTTATTTTGGTACATTCATGTGTTAGTTACGTTTACGCAAATTTCGGTGTCTGCAAGTGGCAAATAAATGCCACACACAGTATAAATTTTGATTCATCTTCTTGGATACGTACATCTTAAATGTGCTAAGTAATTAGTGCAGACAATATTTTATGTCAGGAAACTGGATACAAAACATACTTTTGTTGTATTGGTAAACCTTTTTATAACCGATACAGATTTTTGGGGCTTAGGGCAAATTAGGATATTTTATTACTGGATAGTGGCCAATTTTACCAGGGTATACTTCGGAAAAAGAATTGGAATTTTTTTCAAAAATTAAAAATTTTAAACGTGACAGGTGAGTGTTAAGAAACTTTTGGTGTTGATTCCTCCTACGTATTTCGACATATAACTGAAATTCTCAAGAAATACTTGCCCACAAAATTAGCAAACATGTTTAGTGATAGATAATTCCATTTAAAAATATTCGTTTATAATTATTTATTATTATTTAAAGTTATTTTTCTGCTGAATAGTTCTTAAGAAATTAACATTTAAAAATAGGACTTTATAAGACGTTGTGAAAAATCTATATACATTACAATTAAAAAAAATGTTCCATCATTAGTAAAATAAGCAATTAAAAAATAATTATTCAAATATTTTTTTTAATCAGTTATTTATGCCATTTGTGAAATTAAGTGTGAATATAAATAACAAAAAAATAATTTATTTTAAAAAATGTCATCTGTACATATTAATTAATATGTTTATTGTCTACCTCTTGAGCAATTAAGATTACATCCTAGAGAGCTAAATTCCAGTAATAAGATTAAGAGATTTTAAAGTTATGTTTTTTTCACTCTGCATTACATAAACTTCTAAAAAGTCTACAGCAGGATAATTTTTAATCCTATTAAATTTATTTATTAAAACTTTACTCGGGTAAAAAGTATATTTGCGTTAAAGCTGTTTTGTAATTGGATTATCTGCAATTTCCCTTCTCTTAAAATTCAAATTTTAATTGTCATTACTTCCAGAGGTATTACGTTAACTAAATAATAAAGGTTATACAAATTCTTGAGCAAAATGTTTTAGCTTATTATAGAAAGAGTATAAGAATTTCAAATAGTTATTAATGGGTTTAAGCAAAAGACTAAGAAGCACTTCCTAGTTCAAAAACCGAAAAAAAGCAATCAAATTTTTAAATTAAAAGAACACATTTAGCTTTCACTAAATTATCAGAAAATGGCTAAATGAAAGTTCGTTATTTTAAAAGTGCTTATATAATTGGATTATTAGTTAAAACTCCCCTTGCATTCCTTAGAAAACTATGTTACTATTAAATAAACTGTTTTTAACTTTAAACAATAATAATATTTGTGACAGTTGCAGTAAAACACATTTTTTTAAAAGGTGGAAAAAACTAGGTGAAATTTAAAAAAAAAGAACTTCAAAATTAAAATTAATTTTTAATTTAATTATTACAGGGCAATTTCTCAAAAGTACATGATTTTAAAACTGCTTTATCAATGAAATTATTGCATAAAATTGCCCATTGGTTTTTGTATAATTTTGTTAGACTTAAATGAACTATTCCTAACTTTAATCAATAATTATATCATTAAATTCCTTGTGAGACACATTATTTTTTAAAAAGAAATAGTGGAAAGGAATCAAAAGGTAGTTAAAATATATTTTTACATAAAACAACACATTTCATATGCCCTTAAATATAAGCTGACTTCGTAAACAGCTTCAGTAATGGGATTATTGAATAAAACTACTGATACGTTTGTGAAACTATTATTTTAAAATTAAATAAATTGTTCCTAACATTAAAATACTAGTAATATTTGTTAAAGGCACAATAAAACACAGTATTTTTTTATAAAAATTAATGAAAAGTTGACAGCTAAAATTTATCTTAAAACTTTAACAACGCTTAAATTCATTTTCTAAGGTTAATTGGCGAAGTTCACGAGAATGTTTCATTACACGAGCACTTTCTGAGAAATATCAGTTGAACGCAACATTTTTCCATTTAATTGTAACCAGGGTGGTAATAAAGTTGTTACTTGGAAACATTACTTACTCAAGAGACAGTTATTGATACTTATAATTAATAGTTTCTGGAACAATAATCAATATTTACATTGACTATTGTTCTATAGATCAGTGATTCTTATCTTTTTCACGTCTTCACAAGATTTTAGCAGATAGCATACATTAAAATAAATTAATACAGGTATGTGTCTACATATGAATTAAATAGGGTTAACATTTAAGTTACACCCGCCCCTATTTAAGTATTTATGAAACTAGTGAAAGTATAATCAAAAACGAAATAACATATGGGATATAATTTTGTCAACGCACTAACTCCAATATATAATTAGGCCAAAAGAGTACGTTTTTTTTGCTTTACTTAATTGTTATTTTATCATATTCAAACAAAACAGCCAAACAGTAGATGGTGACTGATGACCATTAAATGTGTTGGGTCACAAAGTCCTCCATGTTTAAAAAACTAATCATACCTCTGGGGGTACTGATTCAGAACTTTCCTTGTCTTCTGGATTGGGTTTAAAATTACAAGGCTACGGAGTTGAGCATCAGTAGTCGTAAACCCAAAACTGAGTCGGCTGTTCAACGACGGTTATAAAATAAAATATAAAAAACAGCCAAATAACCATTAATAATATGGTATCCAAACTGTTAACTAAGAGAAATACCGTTTGTTAACTGTTTTCTCCAAATACAGTTAAAAAACCAGAATTTTATAGCATCAACTAAGCCCACCTAATGAAGCCCCTTAGTTCCTTGCAGCTCATTGCATATTGTAACCGAGAGGACTAATCTGTCAGTCTCATGATCGGTAAAACGGGCGTTCGAATCACAGCGTTAACACCACGATATTTCCTCCACTTCTTTCAACAGCTCCAATGTCCTGTTGAATTCGTTTTTAATGTTTTTGGAGCCAACGTTATAAATGTCTCGAAAACCGTATTATTTTGTATTCATGGTATTATAACCAAACAAGTTGTATAAAGTTTCAAAACTGCAACGATCAATAATGTTCTTTATAGTAAACTATTCAGTTAATTAGATGGACAGACAGCTGCCGGTTATTTTACTATAATTTTAGAATTAAAATTTGACAGTGTGGCATTATTAGTTCGAAGGCTATTTTTAAAGAAGAAAAATTACACTTACTCATTTCTAAAGCATACTTTGAGGCTTTTACAAAGCGCATTGGAAGTGGAAAATTTATTTAAACAAGACAAATCTGAATGCTGTTATTGTTATTATTATTATTATACAGGCCATTAATATTATGTAACGTATATTATGTAATGACATTTTATGTAATGTAATATTATGCTAGATATTCATATAAGGATTCAATCATGAATAGAATTTTTTTGAGAATAAAAAGTGTAGATAAGTAATCCTCGTTAAAGCATTCTATTAACTAATTTCCTACTAAATATTCAGTCTTTTTGTTTGAAAATACAAATATATGTCAAGAAATAATTATTAATTTTTTTTAAAAAGTTAATCTGCTTTGGAACGAAGAATAAGTTTAGATCATTTATATCACTGACAAAAGAGAGGACGATTTGCTAATTTTTAAAAAAAATTTTTACAATTCAGAATTCATTTTAAACTTGTTTCATATTTAAAAATAAGCGTCCATTCGTTTGAAAATAACAATCAAGAAATAATTATTGAAATATTTTAAAAACTTTAGTTTAAAAATTTCCAATTTCACAACATACATATGGTTAACATAAGGAAAGACACTTTGCAAAATTTATTTAATTCTTGCAATTCAAAATTTATTTTAAATTTGTTCCATATAACTGAATCAACTTGTTCGAAAATAAATACATATCGCTTAAAAAAGGTAGGACAATTTTCGAATTTTTCCTACGTTTTTACAAGTGCAATTTCATTTTATATTGAAAAACGAGGATAAATTTATTTGAAAATAGCTATAAATGTCAAGAAATATTTATTGAAAGTTTTCAAGATATTGCTTAGTCCGAAATGTATTAAGTTTAGAGCTTATATATCGCTAACGTGAAGGATAAAGGGAAACCCGAATAAAGTAGTTTCGTCAATCTTGTAGCTTGGTGGTAGTGAGTTCAAATCCTG